CGAACTAAAAAGGTGACGATATTATCTTTCACAACATGTTCCCATTTCACTACTTCCGTATAGTTCAGCTTTTTTTTTCCATTCTCTGGCATTTTTTTCAAAATTAAGTCCTTCAAATGAGTGTACCAACTTGAATTCTACACACAATTAGTAAGATTTCGCCCATTTAATCCCGTCCTATTGCTGCTCATTTCCAGTATACGGTTTCTTTTCTGTTCCGATGGAAAGTGACGGTCGGTGGATTTGGTGCACAGCCATCGCACCGCACACAAACGCTCACAATCATGGTTGATAAATGAAATGTTGACCCAATTTATCACCACAATTTATTATTTTCGGTTTCAGTGTTGTCGTCATGCAGATTGTGCAGCGCTCCTTCTGCCGAGATGCCAGCGTACACAAAGTGTCATCGTTCCATCGTCGTTTTTCTGTTGTGACTTTTTGCTTGTGTTTGCCGCCAATTGAAGGAAACGAGCGGTTAAGCTTTCTGTAAAATCAACTGGGTGAACTCGCGCGAGCTCATTCCTTTCCCTAAAATGAAAAAATTGAAATATTCTGTGCATAAATGAAAAACGACGAAGACAAAGAAGACGACGGCTATGACATCAACATAACGAAGTGTGACAGAAAAGAATAGACAGAATCAGCATTGTCATGGTGTCACCAAAGCACAGCATCGAATGTGTTGATCAATCAAAAATGACAAACATTTTCGCCGTTTCGCTCGCTAACTCTCTGTTCTACATACAATGAATGCGAGTGCATAGCGCACGCGGTGCTTGGAATGAGAAGAATGCACGGAAGTAGTTGTATTTTTCGTGTTTGACACAATGGCACAACAATTTTGAATAAAGGCAATGAACATGAATAACACACTAATAGTTCAAAAAAGTGAGAAATGCAACTTCAAAACAACACGACACAATAGTCGCTAAAATGTTTTCAATCTGTATTTATGCAAGTGGAAAATTGTACATATAAATAGAGCATCCATAAATGAAAATAAAGCTCACTCACGTGCGCTCCGCTCCGCTCCACTCCACTCCAATCCCGAAGCGAATGCATCGCGTTTGAATCCAAGAGGACACACATACGACACATACATCAGATAAAAATGCAAAAACGAATGCCAGAGCCATTCACAGTGAAATCAACAAACTAAAATGTAAATTCCATCACAGAAAATTCCGCGCGTCAAATGCACCATCAAACAAATTTGCAGTGTATAGAATAAAATGGGGGAAGCTCAATTCAACGGAGAAGTTCATACGAATTTATTCTAGAGACTACTGAATCTTCATACAAAGAACGTTATTGCTTCAATGTGTTTCAAGTTGCTCTTCGCTTCTTTTTTTTTTCATTTCCGAAGAAGAATATTTCAATTCCAAACTGCAGTTATCACATTTTGAGCACTTCACCCGCACATTCGCTGACGCTGACAAAGGCGTGCATTTTACATATGGATCACGAAATAAGGAAGCACCATACAACAATATTGCATCACTGATTTTGATAGAAATTGATTGTTGCACAGACAGCGAAAGATATGATTGTACAATGTACATTGTAGGGCAAAATGTAGACAGCGATGGCATAATATGAAATATATTGATTTTCATTCTTCTGTTGCGCTGCATGGAAAATGGCAAATAAAATCACGCCCGTTGAAAATCGAGAACGAGTGATTTCATTTTCGTGATGCGGTTTTTGGCACACAGCTTGCATGTTTCTGACTAATCATTTGTTTTTGAGGTGGTTCGACCCGAAAATTCACCCACGACTCGGCACACTGTTTATATTATTCAATCCAATTTTCCAATTTTCAGATTGTGTTATTTTGGGATGCAAAATTGCTCTCATTTTGCACATGTCACGGGGATGGTGGCTTCAGACCGTCTAAGTTCTATTTATCTGGGTTTCATGAAACAATTAAGAAAGTTCCCTTGGTTTCGCTCGCACCAATTTCGCGGCTCCACTTCAATAATTCACACATCACAAGCGAACGCCATCGTAATGAGACGTGAGATACGACGACGAACACACTTATTATTCATTTGTGTGTGCTTGGGATATGGGATACAACAAATAATTTCTCCATATGAATGCATTCAAATTCGAAATATTTGCCATGCTTAACCATGAGTGATTAAGAATTAAAAAAAAGAAGACTAAAACAATAGACTTTCGAGTTTGCACATCATTTGAATGTTCTCAACTTTCGTCAGAATATTCATGAGCCGAAGGTCAAGAATGAGCATTGAGCAATTTCGATTGTGAGCTTGCTTCGTGCATTTTGTATTCCGACTATGTGAATGGTTATGTCAAAAATAACTCAATTTGAATACTAATGCCAATCGCTTCTAATTCAGATGCATCACCATACACAAAAAAAAAACCGCAATCCGAATTTTGTTATCGCTATTCATAATTTTCCCGGTTTGTTGTTGAACATTATCGGCAAAAATACCATGAATATCTTTGATTTGAAATGTGAAATCTATAACCGCAAATCGAATTCAGTTTTACCTCACAGCGGTACACACTAGCATGTTTAGCTCTGCTTAACCATAAACACAAACAGACATTTTTGATCTTGGTTTACTCTCTTTCACTCTCTCTCTCTCTCACTCGCTCTCGCTATGCGCGCGTGTGAGTGAGAATGAGTGTATGCCAAATTCATCGACTAATTGAATTTGGTTTCTATAGCGGCAGATTGCATTTATCAAAAGCCATCATTTTAGATGAAAATTCATAAACCAAATTTACGTTCGACATTACACGAAGACTGGTAGACGTATAGTTGACGACCCGCGTGGAAAAAACAGCAACTGATGTCTAAACTAATTACCTCATTCTTTTTTGTCTTTATATCGATTCCGATACGCGTCGCTTTTATCGCACTAAGCTCCAATCGATTGCGAATCAACGTTGATAAAATCTAAAAACGTGTCATTCAATCGAAATGTTAATATAATCTATTTTGAACAGTTTATTCCATCAAGTTTTGCGGAAACGATTTAGTCAACCACTTGAATGACGATTTAACTAAGGCGCGAGTTATGGTTAGCCATGGGCCAAAGAGCACTTCCACCCGGAATCAGTGAAAATGGAATTGCATCGACTTGCACACGAAAACATATTTCATAAATGGATCAAGTTTTAGTATGCCCCGAAATTTTCCCGTGCACCGTATTTCGTGAATTTACTAATTTTCGCAAATATCTCTGCCGTTCGCAACCGGACGAAATTTCTCATACTGAAAATTAGTTTAAACTTGATTTTGTCCAAAGATGTGGGAGGCGGAATGAGAGAATAGAATGGATTGTATCCAGAAAGCGGGTGTGCGCCGCAAACACACACATCTCCACATTTCTGATACACTTCCGTGCATCAAATTTGATTTATTCTCGGTGAAACATAAACGCAAACTAAACACTGGACGAATGAAGCACCATAACATAAACTAAACGGCGAATGGCGACGAAGACAAACTATAAATTTCGTATTTACATAATAATTGAAAACCGTTCTCATCACACGTAACCATCTTGCTTACGCAACGCTGGTTATCTAGTTGCCGGTGTTCCGGCTGAAGAATCTTTCGCCAAACATGCATATGTGCGTAGTGCTGTTGTATATGGATGCAATAGAATGGCACATGTCACCCCGTACACAATCTTTGTAAACAATTCAGAGACTTTCATTACTTAACTTCTGAAGTTTCAGTGAAAACTTTCATTCGTAAAATGTGTGTCTGTGTCTTTGTGTACGTGGATACATCAAATGAATCCCCCATTTGTTGTTGATTGAGCTATTTTCGTATTATAATTCATCACTTGGGTATTCACTGTTATGTACCTTTGAAATAGCTAAACAATAAAATTATTGCGCTTATTCTATACAAAGCAAATACACGGAAGAATAAAAGATGAAATAAAAATGACATTCCATACGGTAATATCCAGCTATAAAACATTTTTGTCACTTGATTGGAAACACGAGACAAAATTGACAGAAAAAAAAATCAAAATTCAGGGGGATTTTGACCGAATTACTTTGCCGGAATTACTCTGAATCAACTTCATTCTCTGGTGAAGTGACTCAATCCACAGATTAAATGCAATACACAAAAGAGCACTGGATTTCGTTTATTTTTATTGTTTCTCAACAGTTTGCTATTTGTTTTACTCGGTTTGATCTATTTGTATAATTGACGCCGTATTTGAATCGTTTCGAATAAAAGTGACCTGTGCCGATTTGTTGGATCTCTAGTAGAGCTGAGCAGAGAGTCTTTACTTTGTGATCGTGTGTTTGACCAGTTAGAAATGAAACATTCGTTCGAAACCATTCAATGGTTTAAAATCAAAGTGAGAGTGATCACTGATCGATCAGCCAATTTGTACCCGTGCATTTCGAAATTTTGTTAATTTGATTCTTTTATTTTCCAAGTGTACATTTCAAGTGTTCTCGGAACCAGCCAGATACAATTTTGCGTCATAACAAAACAACCAATAACATTTGGTCGAAATTACACCTGTCACAAAACTACTCAATATTGTTGACAAGATCTAATTTATCGCGTATGACGACTAGTTTACCGTTGTGTTAGAACACCGTTTTACAGTTTACATCAGCTGATCATAAATACAATGCACCTGAACTGGAAACAGTTGCTTGTTTGTGACATATCCGTGAAGTGTTCTCAATATGTTATCGAAAGCATGTATCAAAGATAGCAGTTGATTAGACAGATAGTAAACAATAAATGTGATTGTGTGAAGATTAGTGAGTGAAAGAAAAAAAAACTAAAGTTTAGTCGTTTTGTCGTCGCATAACATTTCTCGTACAGCATGAAACTTTTTCCCCAGCTCTTTCAGTTGAAATGGTTTGACTTTGAATTTCGTTTAATTGTTTTACATTTGGCTCCAAATTGTTAAACCGTTTATTATTCACTTATTAGCTTATCAAAGATAACAAAACATCGGCTCATTATATTTCAGGCCCCAGTGTGTGCATGGTGAGCTCACTGTCGATTGTTCCGTGGTGCCGTGTGTATGCGAGTGTAGAGTTTCTCTCTCGAACTTGGCTGTTTGCGACTAACAATTTTCGAGAGGAACTTTGTCAATCGAAATTGATAATTTATTGTTTTGCCGCTCTTGACGCAATCGAAACTAAGTGCTATATCAAATTTTCAAATCGACAATGAAAAAGAAGATATAGTCCAAATATACGAGTTATCAGCGGTCGGTTTGAACAATTTTCCAAAAGTTCGGAATAACTTTCAATATCCAGTTCATCGAATTAACCAAATATCGTTAACAAATTCCAATCGTGCTTGCATTAAATTCCATTCAAAATTTAATGACTTATGTGTTTCTCACCGCCAATGTAGATCAGTGTCATTCGATAAGTTGAATTAATCAGTTGAATCGATTGCATGATAATTCGAACACGTTTTACTTTTATTCGGTTATTTATAAAACGTAATAACGAGTCAAGAGGATCTCGCATAAAATGTAAAAGAAGTTTATCATTGCTAAAGTAATGATTGTTGAAGATTTGATTTCTGTGCGGCTCAAAGTCAATTGTTTGAAATTTTACGGAAATATTAAATCAGTTATTTCAGTCGTGAAACGGGCTTCCAAGTGAAAAAAAAAATAACGGTGGCTGTTAAGCGGACGGCGATTTGTGATTCATATAGCAACAATAAAAGAAATCGATTCAAACGGGCAGTGATTAGCAGGGAAACTGTCATACCTCTGTGCGAAATTAAAACGAAGCAAAAATATCGACGAATAAATAAAATCGATCTGGTGTGGTGAACATGATACCCAAATGGAGTGTATTAATCGGAGTTTTTGCCATACTTTCTGCAGCAGTACCGGCCAGTCAAGGTTAATTTTTTTTCCCTGTACTTGAGTAATTCAAAAAAGTTTTTCAATAAAAATGGGCTCCGCTTCGGTTCGTGTGAACAGCAACCATCGGTGTAAAAGTTTGAGCGGCGTGTAAATTGTTGTTAAGCATGTTTTGCACCGCATCATTCAATTTTTTAACGCCCATAAAAATCGCATAAACAAAGTGCACATAATAATTCGCGATAACCGCCACTAAGACTCTTTCCAAAAATCATAAAAGTTCTAAACGCGAACCGAGTTTGTATTTGGAAAATTTTCAGTTTTTTTCTTCTTCTATCGACATCTGGGCACAGGAAAAAGCACACAATTCTTCCAAAACAATTTGGCGAAGCTTGTGTATCTTATTTTATTGTTTTATGCCATTCATTCGTCTCATAAAGTCGTAAACTGCGTGCTTTGATTTATGTGAGGTGGCTCGACTTATTTGATCTATAAATCGACGTGCCATTTAAAACATACTTGCTATTTATGGTATTTGCTCGCTCTGTGTTACTCGTGGTTTTAAACGGCCATTCATGGAAACAGCAATGTTAGTTGTATTTTTCCGTTTTCAATTTAAAATTGATGCGATTTAAGGTATTTGCTGAGTTGAATTTCGTAAAAATAGAACGACCGCATTTTACAACGCCTCGTTGTTATAGGCGTGCAATTATTGGCGCCGAGACAATATTGAATATTTATGATGAAGTGGAAGCGAAGCGCTTCACCATAGACATTTTGTCTATATGCAATTTTTCATGCTCCCCCGCTACCGAGTCGGGCATTTTTGATGTTTGCATCGCAATGACTACGTTAAGGTTCGCAATTACCCGTATCGATTCCCACTCCAGCAAATCTCCTAAATTCAATCGAACCATTCAAAACAAGGAACTAGAGGGGAAAAAACGTCAAACATTATTTATCCTTTATTTTATTCAGTCAATTTTGCCATGAAGACACAAACACATTAAAAAATTGCGACTCCACGTAAATTATTTATTTGGAAGCATTTTAACTCGGCGCCTTCTGGAGTTGTTTTTTTTTTAAATTCCGTGATGTCTATCATCTACATTCGAATGTTAGGAAAACATTTTTCCACCGAAATCGCATTTATTGCGAAAAAATCAAAATTTATATCTTTTGTTTAAAACAAATTGTTTTTCGCTCAATCACTCAACCTCTTTATAAAATACAAACATTTTGATTCGTTCCAATTCAGTTCTGTGACAGACTGAGTGCTTTCCCCTTTCGTGTATTATTCGATAAGATATCGAAGAATGAGAATGTGATATATTCCACTTAAAAAACGTTCATAAAATTACATCGAACACTTTACACACATGTTCACCTGTAATAATGAATTATTCAGTACGATTGAATTGCAGCGAACGAAATTCCAAGAACAAAAGTGCTATTACTTGGTGTCATAAATTACATGTGGACAATCAGATATCGCCAAAACTAATTCAAATCGCTTTTTCCTGCTTTTTTTTTATGGTTAAACTTCATTTCTAATCTATTCCATGGCTCAAGTACTAAATATGTTTCCGCTGTCTTTTTTTTCGTAGGTCAAGATATTTCACAAGCGATTCTCTCTCCTCCGTCGAAAGATGTGTGTGACAATTCGTCGTCGATGGACGACTTCCCCGAAGATTTATTCACCGGTAATTCCCCCTCATCGAAATTCTATACGCTCAAACCTAATTGTATTGATTTTGTTTTAAAAATTCCCCTTCGATTTCTAGACGAACAACGATTACACGGTGCTATCGTTTTACACATAATTGGTGCTATTTACTTTTTTACACTGTTGGCGGTCGTATGCAATGACTATTTCTTGCCATCTGTCGAATGTATTTGTGATGATCTGAACATCTCACAGGTTTGATATAACAAATTTTATTCATGCCAATTGTTGTTGTTTCGTTTCGAACTAGCGTCGGAATTCACAATAACATAGTATAAGGCTAAATTTAGGCCATAATCTACTTAGTAAATATGATAGCATTTGGCTGAAGGATTTTCTGCATTCTTCCAATATGATGATTTAAATAACGTCAATCAATATTTTTTGTGTTTATTTAAGAGAACTGCTCTGTGTGCTTTGAAAATAATCTGAAAAATGCACGTGAAAATGAGAAATATGCTGTTTGAAATGCAATCAATTCTTTGAGTTATTCCACTTGATCATTTGAATTCGAAATTGATGAAATGGATATATCCAATGGACTTGGTTGAATTGTAGTGGATTTTCTTTCGCACAGAATAAAATCAATCGCTCCAATCAAAACAGCTTTTCTACCGTGCGTATAATTCAAAACTCAATAGTAAAATCGCCTTCAGCCAATTGACCACATTGTCTGATTCGCATGCAATGTAAAATGTACACGATCAGCGGTTTATATGAACGATTGAACGAGTACATTTGCTCAAGTCTGGTGTTCTATTTGCTTTGAATTTAGGATCTAGCAGCAGCAACGTTCATGGCCATCGCTACGACCACACCAGAACTGTTTACGAATGTTATCAGTACATTCATTACGGAATCGGATATTGGTCTCGGTACCATAATTGGTTCATTGATGTTCAATACGCTAGGCGTGGCTGCAGTAGCATCGCTTGCAGCATCGAAACCGGTACAACTTGACTGGTGGCCAATTACACGTGATTCGCTGTTGTATATGTCGAATATTCTGTTGCTCATCGCATTTGCATGGGATAATCAAATCACATTAGGTGAAACAATCACAATGGTTGTTCTGTTTTTCCTCTACTTCGTGATACTGTTCCAAAACAAGCGTATAATGCCATGGATGAAATGGTTTTTGGAAAACACGGTGAATTGTTGCCTGTGCCGAGTTACGAGCTATGGTAAGTGTGTGTGTGTGTGTGCAAGGGAAGAGTGGGCGAGAGGGAGAAGAAGTTATTCGGAATTTACAGAAGACAATTTCAATATACATTCTAATTTCCGATTTGTATCCTGATTCATTTTTTATGCTGATCTCCATAGATTTGCCATCGTCGTTTGTTGAGAAGAATTTTACGCAGCAACAACAGAAACAACAGCACCAGCAGCCGCAAGATGCGATTGTGGTGGCGACGTCGCCGCAACCGTGCGAAAAATCCAAAGAGGCAAATATTACTTCGAAGAAGGACCAATTTCAACGCACTTTATCAAAGTCATCGATCGACAACAATCCGATTTTTATGATTTATACGAAAAGCGAGAGCACGGAAGATGTGAAAAAAGAGCGCAAAAGTCTATGGCGTATACCCATTGCCAATCGCTTGAAAACCATTTGGTGGATTTATACATGGCCTATCAAAGCAATTCTCACCATTACCATTCCGAATCCGAAAACATATCGCCAACTGTATCCACTGTCGTTTGTAATGTGCATCTTGTGGATCGGTTTGAATGCGTACATGATTGTTTGGATGCTGACTGTCATTGGTAAGTCTCGTGTGTAAGAGTGAATGTGATAGAGTCTGCGAACAGACTCACAAGTAAATTGTATTTTCACATTTCGACCTTGAAAATTGAGTTAAATCCCATTTCTTGTGTATTTTGTGTCGCATTGGCACGTTTTCAGGGTTTACATTCAACATTCCCGATGCTGTGATGGGCCTCACTTTCCTAGCCGCAGGTGGTTGTATGCCAGAAGGAATATCAAGTGTGTTGATGATTCGCAAGAACGAAGGTGGTGTCGGCGTATCAAACTCACTCGGTGCCAATTCCTTAGCCATTCTCATGTCGCTCGGCATTCCATGGCTTATCAAAAATATTATCAATCGAAATAACCCAGAAAAAGCATCGATTGCACTCAATCCGTACAGTACTGAGTATAACATGTTATTACTTCTATTCTCTGTTATCGCATTGTATGTTGTACTTACATTGTCCAAGTATCGGCTCAAGCGAACCGTTGGTCTGATGCTCATAAGTATCTACGTTGTTTGCATCACCTTTGGAGTTCTACTGGAGATGAACGTTTTCTACCCAGGCCTTTGCTCATAGTATTTAAACGATTAGAATGTAAACAGAAAAAAACATTATTTTCGTGTCTGCCTCTGTAGCTAGTAATTTATTTTATAGTATTTCATCTTGTATCCTGTATCATATGTATTGTTGCATTTAAACTGAAAATTAAATTAAAGACAATGTTCAAAGTCCATGAATAAACAATGAAAATTGGTCGTGTTTTGATGTATATTCCCAAAGGAAGCAGCACACATAATCTAATAAACGATGTCAGACGATGCAATCTGGAATATATACGTGGATTTGGTTTCGGGCGATTTTTGTGCAGCAATTTCCAATAACACCAGCTTTACCTTTTAGTATCGGTAACTTCGAATTGTATGTCTTGCAAAGAATCCCCACACTCTCTCCCATTGTCTCTCTCTTAATTCCATTCGTTCGTTGTCTTCGCTAAATCGATTACTTCTTTTATTTATCGATTCCAGAGAACGTGAACAAATGTGATAATTTCGTTCGATGTACCAGGAAGAACAGACAAAAGACACCTTCGTGTAATATTATATCGATGCAGAGAATAGACATCGTTTGTATGATCGAAAAAAGACACACACACACTCAATAAGTAAATCATGCATGACTGAGAATGAAAGAGACTACATGGTTATTTTTACATTCACTGCACTGTCACAGGCGATGAACTCAGTGTCATTGTACATTTGAATGGCACAGGCAACGGTGAATTGAATCGGAAAAAAAATTTGTATGTGTGTATATGGAAATTATTCTTTGGACCTGCGTAACAAAAACGAGGCTTCAAATTAGCATATCCATTCAGTTGGAAATACAAAATAACAACGATAAACACCTCGACTCAATAAATTCACTTGGAAGGCCAGAAAAGAAGAACTTCACTATAAACAGCGACACTATTTTCCTATGGGTACAGAGAATCGATTGTCATTTTTGACGCGGAAGGAAAAAAAAAAGAAGAAAAGGGAACAACAACACACACATAACGTGATACTAAGTAGTTGATTATAAACTCACTATCGCATTGTGGCGTTTGAATGAATCGAAATTTTATTTAAAGATGTCGATGTGTTTTCGGTCAGCAAAAGATTGGAAATTCCAATCCAATTTGGAATTGAATGAGAGAAAAGTAAAGAAAAATCTGAACGAAAATTTGAACAAGATTTTTTCTCAAATTCTATATCGCTGCTAATATTTTGCATCATTAATTTTAAATATTATTGAAACTAGATATTCCAAGTTGAAACGTTCATGTTTCGTCTGACAATTTTCGAATTTTTATCATTTTCCTTTCGAATTTTGTTGCACCTAGAAAGTCATTTCCCGTTTGGTTGCCTATTTCTTCGCACGATATCAACTCGATTTATTAGGTAAATCGACAACCTTATGTGTGCACAGATGAAGACGTCCCTGCCAATAAGAAACTAATGTATACACGCCAGGTTTTTTTTTCTCGCTCTCTCTCTCTCTCTCTCTCTCTCGGCTCCCCTCTTTCTGTATCTTTCTTTTCAGCTCCTCGTTTTTCCGTTCCGTAATTGTAGTATAATCTCATTAGAATAAATACGCCTGGAGACATTGCGACTAAAGGTGTATTATGTGAGCTGATAAACACACTTGTCATTTAATAAGCTTGTCTGCCTCACAGTTGAATTCACTCGCTCGCTCGCTTGCTTGATTAATCTACTGCTATTTTCGCCAACAAACCAAGACATTCGATTCGAACGATAACAATAACAAGGGGAAAAAGACGAAAAGAAAAGGCGAACTCACAATGTCTATGGAACGATGTGATATGTGGCGCAACTAGGTGATGGCCGCAGAAGTTTTGTCAAAATTCATGCACAACCAACTTGACATTCAGTTACATAGTTCAGCTAACCCATAGTACATCCATCCATGGGCTAGGTGCGCCACCAGCGTGAAAAAATATGACAGTATATGATTAATACACAGCACATTGTGAGTTCGGAAAAGGAATACCTTCAGTTGGTATAATCGGTCTCAGTTGAATTGAACGCAGAGCAAACAGCATTATTGTTCACGTTATTTAATGTGGTTGAATGAACACAATATTATCACGATACCGAAACATACACTCACACTTCGGCATGCTTAACCGAAAACAACAAACCGAAGACGCAAATGAACATATGTAACAGTTCAGTTGAATGGTGTTTTTTTTCCATTTTTGCTCTGCTCCTTTTCATACTGCATTTAATCACTTCTTAGTGAACGAACTTTGTCGATGTGATTTGATACATGATACTTTTCTCTTGGCAAAAAGAAAATAGTGTGGAACATTAGCTTTGGGAGTGATAGCACAAATCAAATCATTTAGTTTGGCTCAATCCAAATCTCACCTCCGTCTTGAAAAAAAAAACAATTTTCATATGATGAGAAATGCTATCTTTTTTGTTTAACAAAGTAACGATTTTCATGGACTTCTCCAAAGGTCAATAATTAATACTTCTGATTTGTAAAAAAAAAAACAAATTCATTGAAAATGGCTTTTTCACGATACACGCAGTATTTGACAGATACATTTATTCTAATACGAATTTTCAAACCAGAATTAGCATTAAATCGTAAAGCATTGTAAGGTTTCAATGGTAATTTCAAATCCATTGTTGCTTGTCCAATTGTCCATTGAGCGAATGGAAATCTTCATAATGCCGATTTTTATGAAGTTAACGAGGAGCCAATGGAGAAAAAAATGATTTAAATTTTGGCGATGAATTTATTAGAAATAGTAAATCCCTATGATATGTATTTATTGAATATTATTCTTTGACTTCTTTCCTTCAAAGGGGTTTCAGTGAAAACTTTTCACAGATCCTGTGAATGATACTATACTTAAACGAGTGTCAGGCTCGTCAGAGTTTTTTACTCGTTTGTGTATGTTTGGAATGAAGAATGCTAGTACGCCCATTGCTGAAAATAAGTGAAATATTTCTAAGCAAATAGTTATTGTGCGAATTTCCAGTATATGAAAGATTAACCTATGGTAAGTAAACCCGATAAGTAGAATGCAGCTTCACAATGATCATCCAATAAAATGGCAGCCGTATTGGAGCCCGCAATGCTACCCAGTCGTCCAAACATTAATGAAATCGATATAGCCATTGCTCTTTAAAAAATGAGAAAAACCAGGGACAAAAGATTTTTTTCATCAAGTGTTTTTCTCTAAAAAAACGGAGTGTATTTTGGATGAAAAGCATAGAAAGCTGAGCTCAGCGGCTATTTAATTGTATACACACAAATAGAACCACAAACAGAACCTAGAGGTATTTATGTCAGTTGAATCTATCGAATTTGATCGTTCCATTGCGACTTTGTTACGAATTCGCACATTCTCTGCGAATTCTTTACGAATTGTTCACATTCTCTGCTTTGTCACTGCGAATGGCAACTAAGATGGCGCCAGCTGACAATGTTTGGATTTGACCAATTCGCAAAGAATTCACAAAATTCGTGAAATATTTGAATGAAATTGAAGTCAAAACGCGTGCGAATTGTGCGAATTCCTGTCAAATCGCGAATACATAAATTCCCCTAGAACAGAACAGTACTGTGTATGAACGGTGAAACGGACTTCGAACACGTATAAGATCTGTTGTATTCTTTGTGTGTATGCAACCAAATAGCTGCTTATTCCAGCCTAGTTATTCAGCCTAAATAGGCAATCTGCTAAAAGAAACCATACCTCATAGTCGTTGGATATAAATCAACGGTAACTGCATTTAGGACATTCGATGCCATTTGACACGACAGGAGCCAAATGTAAAAAGAGATCTGCAACAATGGGACATCTGTCAACATGCAACCGATCCCGCTTAGGCCCGTTGTTACAAGAATGAAAACTAATTTTAAAAGAACAATCACATTCCATTCTATTCCCGTGTTTGGTTGTAAACGGTTTTCTTTGCCACTTACATGTGACTGGAAACTTCCCCACTCTGTTAAGAAGCATACCAGAAATAGCTAAGCAAACGGTGTACAAAAGCTCAAAGATAAAACCGTTCTCTATTGTGGATAATTCCAATTTGTCAATGCAAACCTATATTCGTTGAACATGAAAATGAATATTGATTGTCGTTTGATATGATCTATCTTCACAACTCACCTCTAAATCTATTTCATTGTCTTTGATTGCACTCATATTCACTGTTTTCATGTTGATTACGTCGCACATCATTGCTCTATCCTCAGTAAAGCTATCCAATTTTATAGACATGCCATTTATAATTTCGCCAAAAAACATAAAAAATCCATTGCCTGTGGCGTAAATGCCAAATTGAATTAAACATAACAAAGTAGTTGATTTGAGATATGGTGGCTTAAATAGTGGCACAGTTTGATACCAAATCGTTTTCAACAGACTTTTATTGCTCTTTGTAATACCCTGGCTGCTGTTAATTGACTCGATTTCTTCGCGAATCTCAAAGTCTTCAAATTCCGACTTTTCCCCATTATTCCATCGGTGCATTTTTCGTAATATTTGATAAGCGCCTTCTCTATCTCCTTGGGCCAGAACGAATTTCGGGCTCTCAGGCAGAAAGAATAGAAGTAGAGCTGATACAAGTCCGGGTGTACCGCATACAACCATAAAGAGACGCCACGGTCTATAATTTACATCGATGAATGGGATTTGAAATTGCCAATCCTGATTGATCACACTATACGCGGTTAATGGGATAATCATGCATAAACCACTATAAATTACGGTCGAACCTAATGTAAAAAGACAATCCGTTTTAGAATATCATCAAAAAGTTATTCTGATTTACACCAACCAATAAGTGCGTGACCTCTTTTGCTGTTGTTGTGAAATTCACCTAAATATGCGAAAATGTTCGCTGCGGAACCAGACATACTAAAAACGGAAATCATAATTATTAGGGCGAAAAGTGCCATTAAATCACAATCAACTTACAAAAATCCGTTGAGAAATCGTAATGCGATAAAAACGTAGAAATTTTGAAAAAATGAGCAAATAATAGACATAAAACATGCTAAAAACAATGTTGGCTGAATGATACAGTGACGGCCTTTGGTATCCGCGAGGTAGCCAAACAAATAAGATGAACATAATATTCCAAAATATACAACTGATCCCAAAACGCCTTTTTGGCCGGTGGTCAAATTCATGTCACATGCAACAGGAATCACATAAATAATTGAGCTCGTTTCCTACGAAAATTTGAAGCAACAATTAATTCGATTTTTTTTTCTCATTTTTGTGATATTTTTCCAATTCCCACCATAGCCAATGCGAACAGAATAACTCCGCTGACAAAAATAATGTAATAGTTGAACAGCCCGAAATCTGAATGAAGAAAAAACAATGTTTAATAAAATAAGATTTTCAAAGCACCACAGTAGAAGCACAAAGCAGTATTACTGGAATTCAGTAATGTTTGTGTCGAAGGATATTTTTTTCACTCACTAGTTTTGGAAATGGCTTCCTCCATACATAGTATTTTTCTACGGGATGTTTGATTACGTGATATTTGCGGCCGAACATCCGAATTTCTGCGGCCTGTTCGAAAATCAAAAACTTGCTTAGAATTGAAAATAAAAGCATTTTTAGAATTTATTTTCAGAACAATACCATTTTCAGCTTCAGAATGACCCATATTGAGGTTGTGTTTTTCCAATTATTTATCGTGTATGTTAAATGATAAGTAATATACTTAATACTAAAAACACTAATTTGTGGACTATTTCACTAAGCTTAAGAAACGCACTAACTTGCAACACATCAAAACAGATTCCTCTTCCTACTTTTCATTATTTGATTGAGATAACACACAAATTTTAATGGAACAAACGATTACTATGTGGCATTTTTCTGTCATTTCTTGCCACTCGATAAGCTAATGTGGGAAATAATCTTTGCCGAATTAAAAAAAAACAAACTTTAATCTTTTATTTATTCAAACGTATTTGCAATATTTTGAACATCTGAACTAATACATCATCAATTTTATCTCACATACAACATTTCTATCCATTGAAATCTGAATACATCTAGCTGTTAATCGACGAAATCAGATGTTTTAATCTGAGATAACTAATCTTCTTTGAAGCGACCATAAAATGACACGTCACATTATTCTATATCATCATAGCAATACCCAGTCTGGCATGTCTGTTTATTAAATTTAGATCAAAAACAGACACAGCCGATCGATAGAAAGGCTCCAAAATTGCCCATGTTTCTAAACCGAATACAATTTTTCATAGAATACACTTTGTCTATAATAAGACAAAGTCATGTGCTTAGAAGTGCATTTTAATTCAAGATTAAAACAATTTTTTTCTAGAGTGAAAATATTGTATATGAATTTTATAACAGCTTGAATCAAAGGTTGGAGCTACGTAAAGCTTGCATCGAATTCAATGATCAAATGACTGGAAATTTAATAATTTCAGAAGTAAACACTTTGGAAACTGTTTCGTATAATTCGACTGGCAGTTTGATGTCTCGCAGAGCATGACCTTTAAAATGACTTTTTCATTGTCATCTTGATATGATAAGCACCCGATTTGAATCTGTTACGCGCACTTTTATCGCTATAACATCCAATTGGCAAGGGAAAGAAATCATGTACTTGGTCGAAAGAATGGAAAAAAAATCGCTTCGTGTACAGACCAATTTCGGTGTTGTATTATGCATGCACAAGTGTTGCTTGTCCATTGAATGACGCCCTTTATGAAGTTAACGAGGAGACAATGAAGAAAAAAATCATTTCAATTTTCACGATGAGTTTATGAGAAACCATAAAAAGTACAACGTCGTCCGCAAACAGTTTATGTTTGGCGGGGTGGCGCGCGCAATAAGAAATAAAAAAAAGAATCTGTCGTTTGAAAAGGTTCACTTTCCATTGAATAGGCAAAGCGGTGTGCCGATATTTGAATGGATGTCGCCTTTTTTTGCTCTCGCCAACAACAAAAAATATCGACCAAATTCAAAAGCTCGGCGCCACGCAACGATAAACTTGTACATTTATTAATGTATTTTGTAAAGCAGTTACTTTCCTTCATTTTTTCGCCTTTTTTTCGGAACAAAAAAAACACGTCTTTGTACTGGGTTTAAATTAACTGGTTAAAAAAAAGCGTGTTTCTTAAACGAATCGAAAAGCTGTAAACTGCAGCGTCAGCCAACGAGCTAATTAGGAAATCCAACGCACCACATCAAATGACATAGGCTGTATAGATGCATATTAAAAAGCAACTACACACGCCCATCGCATATATAACTAAGTAAGACTGGTTGGTGGTGGTAAGAAAGTTTTTTTTTCTGTAAGAATGTGACAAAATCAACGCTTAAAAATTGCTGCCTAATGGTGTTCGTGCTGTGCCATTGAACCGATACATGGCCATTGTATGTGTGATACAGCCGACGTAAATTGTCGTTGTCTTCGTATTAAAAATGTATGGATTAATTAATTTCGCTAACAGTGGCATTACAATTCCATTTGCTTTTGTTCGGGCGTCGGCACATTCTTCGTCGGAATGTGTTAACTGCATAGAAGTTCGGGGAGTAAGTGGCTGACTGAAGTATCAGGTAAAAATGATTCTGCAGTGCGAAAGCTACATGAAGCAAACCACAAACATTGGGAACAGACGTTACAATCACGACATTCACCAAATTGCTTGCGAGTGAGATGTTCTTGAGGCGACTACGTCTTAATACAAGGGCGCATGTACACATGTATGAGCAGCACATGTTAGTAAAAAGAAGAGCTAACCAAAAAGTGAGTATGTAAAATATTTCCGCGTTGTTCCATAATACACAGACACAGACACACTGTCTGTGTGCTGCACGGCAATGAAAAGACATTAAATTTTATCGACCCTGCTAGAATATCAAGTAAGACCGAAGTGAGGAAGAGATGCGAGCGAGTGAATGAGTGATAGAAGTGAATGGTTCTAGTCATTTCCATTTTCTGCACATTCACAAAAAATTTCCCGCACTCTCCCACACGTTTGATATCCACTGATGATGATTTCGAATTCAATTCGACAAGTGAGCACGTTCAGACGTGAAAATTTGTTTACTTTAACACACTGACTTGAACCAATTCATTCGTACGTTCGTTTTGCTCCCACATCTCTTCGTCTTTTGTTTGAATAGACTTCTGAATTAAGCAGTTTTATCTGTGTTAAATAAGAGATAATGCCTAGAGAAGAACAAACACACACACGCAATGCATGAAAATGGCAATTAAGGTACACGCGATGGCTCTGATTTATATGCAAATATTATTTTTTGTCAGCATTGTGCCGCCCAAAATGTTACCTGATTTTTTTGGATAAACATGTTAAAAACTAGGGAAAGCACTGCCAAATGAATGATGACACAAACCAGGTTAGCGAATTTCTTCGGCTAGAAAATGACTTGTTTCAAATGAACACAACGACAACAACATTAATGCCATACCGAAAAAAACACATACACCTCAAATCGCTTTGTAGCATTTATTGAGATTACTTACGCGTTTCCAGCGAATGATCTTGTTTCTTTTTATTTCTCCCCGACTGAACAATACTGTTACTGATTGCTCACGCGAATATGAATTGAAATTTCACATCCACTGATTATAAACATTGGCGGCGGAATGAGCAACGCAAAAAATCATTCAAACGATATGTGTTATGTGGCGGATATGACGCATGTTGTGCATGATATGGTTACAGTTATTCACATTACAACCGCGCAACGCCTTTTTTCCCGTTGTTTATGGAACATAATTTACATATATTCCTAATATAATGGCGGAGAAACACAACGCGTACATTTTCGCAATGGACTGTTTTCTAGCATCTACAAGGAATTCAGCATCAACTCCTTGGGGCGCTTGAAAATGACTGAATTTCAATTTTAGTCGCTGCAATTCAAGAGGAGAAAAATGTGAATACAGAAGAGATGTGAAAAAAGGAGAAAAAAAAATGAATTCGAATGAGGTAATTTTAGAGTAGAACTTGATGAAATGGAGTCAATATGTTGAAAAACGGTTTTCCTCTTAAACACTGGGGTTTTACACGAAAAAAAGTGATTTCCTCTCTTTTTTTCATCAGAAGTAACCGTATTTAATTCAAGGGGAAAAAATTAAGCGAAAGTATTGTATTTCGTTTGAAATCCAATTTCTTCGCTGGGTTACTTGAGTAAAATGTAATTGAATGCGTTCAGCGTAGCGTTAAATGAACATGTTCATTGCGTACGCTTATGCAAACTAAGCAGAAATTCGCTGGAGAATCCAATAGAAAACGTTGTTTCCAATAGATAACTGAGTTATAGCTTAACTGCTTTGGAATTTCGTCCTTCTTTTTTTCTGTGTGCGTTAGCATTTTCTTGGTTTGAACTGAATTCGATGCGAGAATGCAATTGGCATGCAGTCGAGCATTTCGAGTTATTTCCAGTGCATTTCATAGAATAGACATAGATGCATTCCCGTATCAACGCCAATTGTGGACTCAACTGCGCCAATTGATGCTTTACACTGAACTAAGCGTAAAATTGCTTAAAGGAGCAGCGTAATTTCAATGATTAAGTCAGAAATTTGGATTTGATTTGATCGGCCATATATAGTTAACAGTAATTAAGCGATTCAGCCAGTGTCAAAATAATGATGGTATTTGATAGTAATTTCATTGGTTATCATCAATTATGGCAATTTGCCATTTACCACTGGATTGTCAATATTGACAACGGCTGTTGTGCTGTTTGCACTTTCCTTTTCCTCCTCTCTCTTCTCTCTCTCTCGATCGCAATTTTATCGAAGATTTTTATTTTTACTCGAAGATGAACTATTGCAATGGCCATTTTATTTCGATGAACTCGGTCCCAATGAGTAATTTGATTTGCCGTTATCCACAAGAAATGTGCCCGTTAAACGGGGCGATTGTATTGTGGCTTGTAAATGTACGCAGAAGGCGTAATCGATATCGAAATGACTATGATTTCTGGCCGGTCAATAGCCTGATTTAGTTGTGGCTGATTTCGATATACTCTATGTATATTCTGTTTACTCGGCAAACGCGCACGGCCACAATAAATCCGGAGGCCCGAATAAGGATCGAATGCCAATGGCAAATGGGCAGTTCAATACAATGGTGCGCACACTAACAGCACTCCAGGGACTACAACTATAAATTTATTTATGGCACATTTTTATGATATAAAGCGATTTTAGATTACGAATTGTTTCTCAATCATACGCTATAGAGTGGGGTGCGGTTGTGTTCGGAAATTCGATCGTCAATTTGAGAGACCACACACACGCCACAGTACATTTTGCAATTGATTGCGTGGACTGTGTTCGATTCGAAATTGGCCACAGCGATTTTATTATAGGTGTGCAGTTTTTTCTTTTCTCTCACTCACACTCTTCTTTCGGCATTGACGACGTCGTCGTCGTCGTCGTCTTTTGCCTGCCATTCCGAAACCACTTTCGCATGCTTCACTTAAAAGATTTCCATTCAAAGCAGAAGTATTGCGTTTCTCACGAAACAAAACATTTATTGCAAGTTTTCTCCCTCCAGGACTCTCCGGTCGTCAGCAACGCTGCCTCTTAATCTGACCTAAACCGAAAAATCCAACAAACGAAAGAGAAAAAAGCACCATTTGAATCGTCGGGAGTGTTTCCATTGTTTCGACGCTTTTCCCGCTCTAATAATATAAAATAAATGGGATTCGAACAAAAGTAACATTAATTTTTTTTGTTTCGGTTCTGTTTGCTATTACCCGGTGTGCGTTTTTTTCCCTTGCTCTCTCGCCTTTGCTCTCTTACTCTCGCATTCACGTTGATTCTCTCATGATTTTGCCAAACAAATAAATCTTTTACCG